TTTCATTAAAGACCCCATTGTTGATATTATTGAGTTATTTATAAGATAATTATCAGTGTGTAAATACGAACAACTAGGCTTCAGACTTCTCTGCTTTGCCCATTTGACTGCCAGGTCTTTACCAAAACAAATCGACCATTTTTTCTGCAATGTTTTCACACGCAAACAGGCCAAGAACTCTCCTAATTCAACACTCTGTACGAAAGAGTCTGAAATTCTGTCTCCCAAAGCCTCGACTAACCCATACTCTCATTTATTTCAACTTTATTATTGGTACTATTTACTAAAAAAAAAAAAAAAAACAGGACATCTCGGAAAGGAAAAAAAAAAAAAAACTATTTCATTGGCGAAGCATGACTCAAAACATACAACAAGATTACTAAATGCTAGGGTCACAAGGTTGTCTGTTGTTGTTTGTACATGTGTGGACAACTTACTTTAGCAAAAGTTATTATCAAAACCTTAGAAATGGAAAATAATTTTCTCAAAATCATTGGTGCCATTTCTTAAAGAGAGCAATAAATTTGTGCAACAAGAGTGGTACCTCGCCTCCTATCATTAAACTACTTTTATCCATAGCAAATCAGGCACGCCCCCAATTGGTGTAAAACACAGTTCCCATACAATATTTCACCACAAAGAGAGCTCCTTGGTTTTAGGTTTCCCTGCAGCTCTGCAAAACCATACTATTGACCAAAAAAAAAAAAAAAACTCTGAGTTCAATAAATGGTGGAGAATGAGTTACGGTGATAACATTATTTTGTTATTTGCATTCAATCACGCTTTGTTATGTGAAATTCTTATCACGCTTTGTTATGTGAAATTCTTATCACGCATGACGGGACACACTTAATTGGGAACAACAAAACAGTGATATACAAGTTTTTCTCTAATGAGTCACTACAAAGACCACAAGTCCAGTACAGCTTCTGCCTACATAAAAAATCAGTTGGGTTTCAGTTCAACTTTATATTGAGTTTCAGAAGCAAAACTTTATGTTTGCATTTGATCAAGTCAAGCCAAGTTTAGAGGATGCATTAAGCCAAAACCTCATCTGCACAATCTGAATTCTGAATTTTTTTTTTTCTTGGGAGGTAGTGTGCATTCACACTGAAACATGAGGAACTGACAAAATGAAGAAGATGGTAAAAAATGTGTCCACTTATTCAAAGCTTTACTTTAATGGCTTTTGTTTCTTCTTTTTGTTTGTCTGTGCTGCTGTGTCTGCTCACTCTCTGAACCTGCATGAGCTGTAGCCCTTATAAAATATGTTTGGCTGTCTTGGTGACTTGACTTGGGAGCCAAAGTGAGAAAAATGATCATATCTTTGGAAGAATCTTTGGTTGGATAGAGCTGTGGCTTAATTTCCTCTGATTAAGGCGATGTTCTTTCCAGGTGTGGCAGAGTTTTTGTTTTGGCTTAAAAGCCTGTTTGAACTTCTAGTGCACATTTCTCACACTAGTTTAAAAGCTTTTGTTATTATTGGTGTGCATGTGAGATGTGACCTAAATAAAAAAAATTTGTACTGAATGAAATCATATGTGAATTTGCAGAAAACACCAACATCATCTATATTCTGAACACATTTATTTATTTATTTTTTATTTTGCGTTTAATTTGAGATGTTTGGAGGCATAATTAGGATGGTAATTGAGTATAATTTGGACAGTTCATATCTTTTTGGGGAGCGATGATTAAAGGGTTTGGTTAATCAAGTGGGATGGTGCACAGGTCAAAAGTGATTTGATTCAGCTCCGGAAAAGTAAAAAGAAAGAATTACTTTGATCTTTTTTTCTTTTTTGAATTAAACATTTAACTTTCCCGAATTTTCACACTAATGTAATGTGAACTAACTTTAGAATATAGTTTATCCAAAATGTTGTTCTTCCTTTTAATGTCACTAAGTGATTCTAACACTCATCTTTTAACTTCCTCTACTTTTCCCGTAAATGTAAAATTTACCATGTACTTTAAATACAACAATTGTTTGCCTTTGTTTGGGTCCTTGAAACCTATATTGGGTCTAAATATGGGTTTAAGTGATTGTTTGCCTTTGTGGCTGTTGTAATCGAACACTTCGACTTTTATCAATTATATTTCTATCGTTTGACAGATTTTTTTATTTTTTATTTTTACAGCGATTGCTTGATTTGGGTTATTTTGAAAAGCACGTACGTGGTCCATTTGGTGCTTTGTACGAGTTCATGGATCATGGTATTTTTGTAAAAACATATTACCATTACAATATGATCCACATTTGAATTTGGGTGTTAAATTTGTCAATTAGGCTGCTTTAGTGAATAAAATGATGAAAATGGGTCCTGCGGTTTCATTGACAGAAAACCATGCCTAATAATAATGGGTAATTTTCATTAAGATCCCCAAATATTCTCATTAACCTCCTTTTCCCTAAATGATTAATTAATTAAATTTGGCTTCAATTTTC